CAATGTGTCCATTTGAAAAGCTAAGGCTCATCTTCCTCCAAGCAACCATTTTGTGCAACTATAGCTAGCGCTATACAGTGGCGTCGCTGGTCGGCGAGTGCGACTTTCGCGTTGTAACAGCGTGGGCAAAATCTATTTCTGACAGTTCTATAGCTCAGAAGCAACGCACCTGCCCCCATCTTTGTTGGTCGCGCGGTGCACGAATAGGGCTCTTGTCATTTTCGACAAGCCGATAGCGTCACTTGCAAGGTAGACCTCCGAGGCCCCTGCGACTTTCCCAGGTCAGCAAGTGCGCCTCAAAGAACGCGGTCGAAAGGCAGATTCTTCGAGCCCACTTTTCCGCTAAACTTCTGACTTGTGTGTCGTTTGACACACTCACGCATGAAGAAGGCCGTGCACGATCTGCAGCAGTGCCCCTTGTACCGCACCTGACTGCGCTACAGGTCACTCAAGTTACCTACGGCACGTGAGAACGTTTGGTGTTAGCAAACGTTGAACACTAAGAGCCGCCATTGTATACATGCATCCTTTGAATGTCGTGTATGCCCTGCGCGTCGTTCAATCATCCACACCGCCCACGACTTTCTCCATTCTAACCAGGCATTGTTGTAACATGACAGCTTCACTCCGACTTTTCTTTCGGAACCGCTTCGCCCGACTTCCCACCTTTTGACGCATCAGCGTTTCCACGTGCCAAGAGGGACAACTACCACTGCGGGTGGGCCAACTAGCCGTCCAGTTAACAGCGACTCCCAAGACTGTCTCCTTCTCAGAGAAGAGCGTTGTGCACCCACAGCAGGACACCAGGTCCCCTTTGTGAAGTTCCTCTTTGTTCCCAGCTCGAGTGATGCGCACGTGCTACTTACCCCGGGTGATGGGACCGGGACTAGACGGGAAGAGGACCTCCCTTGGTGATGCCTTCTCCCTCGTTTAGGCGACGACTGGATAGCCACGGCCGTTCGTTGTTGTCCGACCCCTGCGGCTCGGCTGAAAATGATCAGCGGCATTCTCTTCCCTTATACGTCGTGCTCTGCAAGACAAAGAAGGCAGTCTGACTGTGGTAGCCTGAGCTACAAGATGAACTGTCGGCTGACTGGCGTATAACACGGGACTGCTCCGACGTGTTCTTGGACGCAAGAGTTAATTACAAACGCTTCAATGATCACTGTTATAGCGCGTGAACAGAATGACGACACAGAGACAAAAAGGACACGAAGGACTGGAGTGCTCGTGTCCTTCGTGTCCTTCTTGTCTTTGTGTCGTCATTCTGTTCTTGCGCTATAATTATCATGTCATACCAACTAGCCCAAGCCTTCACGCTTCATTGATCTCAACGGCCGTGATACGCGACGTTCAGCAGCGCGAGAACCCTTGACTACTTCGCGTGGCGTACGTGTCCCTTCTAGCACTGCTGCGCACCATGTGTCACGACCGTCGATGTCAGTGTAGCATCCGTGATCACGGGGAACATTAGCGGATTCTCCTATCCCGTTACCGCGCAGTGAACTCACAGTAAACAGTAAAAGAGAAATTGTAAGTGATGTCTCAACATTAGCCGGGGAGTTCCGGCGACACTGCGAAAGGAAGCTCTGAGACCACGAGGAGACAAGGTGACGTCTTCGATATCGATGAGGGAGTGGTCAGACAAAAGAAAGTGACTGGGGCTGAGGTTCTACTCTGTGTACTAGAGATACACTTTCAATAACACTCTCGTGACAACAACGGCTCAACCAACGTTTAAAGTATCTATAAACGTTGGGCTCAACCACTTTTTCCAGGTGCTGCAGTCTTGGGACTCCTTCCGCCCGTGACGCTCTCTCGTAGAGTTGGCCACGTGCACTTGCTTAAGCCTTGTGAGCTTGCGTGGGAGAGAAGGGGGGCGAAGGAAGAAGGTGGGCGGGCACCTCCCACTTTGGCTCGCACGCCCCGAGCTAGAAAGCTCGCTGCCCACCCCTCCCGGACCGCCCGCCTTCTTCGTTCCACGGCTTCTAGAAATAGCCCCAAGACACTAATTCACTTTGGGAGCTCATCAGTCGGCCCGAGAGTGTGCGCGCTAGAGGAGTCGGTCGGAAATTTACTGCGAAGGGAAAAGCCGAAGGAGGGATTATGAGCGGATAAAGTAAAAATATATGGGACTTTTGGCTCGGCTCGTCTTGACCTTTTGTTCGCCTCGAAAGCGGGCTCTGCGCACCCCAGGGAGTGCGAAGCGGTGCACTACCCTCTTTTTATGTCTTGTTTTCCAGCTTCTCCTCTTTGTTCCGGTTACTCTGTCAAGCAAAGAAGCGTGCGACCGTGAAGAACCGAACGTCGAACGCAAGGCCTTTCGCCCAGAGCTGCGGAGTCAAGAGTTTACTTTCACGTGAAACGACGCGGCTCCATGTCCTTTGATGCCTGGGAAAGACCGGTCTCTTTCTCTTATTTTTTAACAACCAAGCCCTTACCCCACTTTCTCCCTGTTGTTTCCTTATATTCTTTAGTTTCCCTCCACCGAAGGCGCCGCGATACCAACCGCTTGACGCGGACGAAGTCTGAGAACAGTCGAACGCGTCTCGTATGCGTCGACAAAAGATACTGCCATAGTATAATAGCGCTGCTCAGTAGGAATACACAGCGTGGTCCCTTCTTTTTCTTCAGCAAAGTGTTCATGCCGACTCATAATGTCTTTTCTTCTATATGTATTTTCTTGTTTTGCGGTGCTGCCACGCTGACTTCTTGCACGCCTTGTTTGTCGGAGGATGAATGCCTGGCGCCCCCAGGAAAGAGCGACAGATTTGGCAGCGTACCACCGACGGCTGACGTCTTGGTTTAGAACGTGCCGCTGAGGGACTTCGTGAGGAGGAGTAGAGATCCCGCTTTCTGCGCGGCAGGACGTTAAAGAGAACAAAGAGTGCATGCTAGTCCCTGCCGCGTGTTGCTTGATGCCCGCTACCGGTAAACCGACCTGTCTGCCACCGTTCTCCATAGCCTTCAGTGTCCCAAGGAGGAACAGATATTAGAACATGATTGGCAGCTGACGCGGCGACGAAAGATAATGCCCAACTCAACGGAACACGCTGGGAAGAGGGGGGGGGGGGGTCGTGAACGGCGTTTTTTCTCACCATTCCTTTCCTGTCTTCCTCTTCAAATCTCCACGGTGTGTGGGCCGTCAGGGGAGGGCCTATGATCAAAACTCATTCGTGCGACTTCCATTTCTACTGGCATATCAGGGCCGCGATACAGGTGCGGCGCCAGCGGTTTACACGCGAAGGTGGATGTGCCACCCCCCTCCCCCTCCCAAAGAACCAACGTAGTCGAAACACAACGTGCAAATCCCCTGCCTCAGTTGTCGTGGTTGCCACACGAGCAAAGAAATTTTAGCACCGCCTCTGCCGCACTACTGAAACTTGGCGAAGTTCATGCGTTGCGAAACCAGAGGGAGCTGACGAGGCAATCAAGCGTAAGTCCAGGACCGGAGACGCATTTATAAGAGATGCTTCACCTGTCGGCGTTCAGCCTATAAAGTGGGCGACCAATGATTCTCCGTGGTGTCACGCACTACGTCTTACTTCGGGGCAGTTCCCAAACTCAGCACTCATCTAAACTCGGGGCGTCCCATCGCGAAAACACTGCAGTGAACTGAGCGCGAAGAAAAAAAAAGAACAAAAAACAAGCGCGTGCCTCGGAGAAAGGAATCCCCCGCGGAGTTCGGTCGTGCTGGGCAACTAAGGCAAAAGGGTCCGGCGAAAATCGAAGCAGCGGCAAGCGTGCCCGCCTGCCATGTCGCGCAGCAGGTGTGCCGGCCATCAGCATCTCGATCCGTCGCGCACCGCAGAGACCACACCGGGATCGGTCATCTCTCTCTCCTCCTGGGATGGGGGACACGATTCTCTTTCATACGCGCGCGCGTGCGCGCTGGGCAAACAAACACGTCGAAGCGGTCGGTTTGCCGGCAGCAAAGTGACGAGTTCGACATCTCTCCGGATCGGCTCGTAAAAGCCGCGCGCTTCAAGCACATAACACGAGTCATCGTGGCACACCCGGAAAGCATGCTGCGCAAGGCCGTCCGCAGAACTTTTCAATACGGGGAAAGGGGAAAGGGATATATCAAGCACAAGTAGCCTTGTTTTTACTGCGGTGACCGGTAAGAATAGTAATAGTGCGCAACGTGCAAAGTTGGCCGGTAATTATGAAGACCGTTGTACTAATAAAGCTACGTAGCTTATTGCCACTGCATTGAAAATTACCTAAAATATCAGGAAAGTGGGAGGCACAAATAGCCGCTCCTGCATCACCCTCATGATGGGGGGCCATCATGCTACGCGACGTCTTGTCTTACCTGCCTTGCCATTAATTGCAACTGCATTGACAATTATCTGAAATATCACGGGTGTGGGGGAGCAGAAGTAGCCGCTCCTGCATCACCCTCATGATGCGGGGCCATCATGCTACGCTTGCCTGACTTGCCTGTGTATCGAACCGTTGAACCAAGCCTACCGCCACAAGCCGCCACCAGAAGGAGCCACATCACGGCCTCTTTCGAACATGATTCCGGCGGTGGTCCCCACCAGCTCGCGCCGTGGTGGGGCACCCCTCTCCCCTCAATTTGAGTAATCCCTCTTTCCTCCTCGGTGAATGGGGGTGGAAGGGGGGGGATTGAAGCAAGGAACAAACTACGGGGGCGTTCATCGCGGCGGAAAGGGCGGCCGGAACGGAACAAGTTCTCGCATCGCATCAGAGGCACGCGTGAGAGAGGGAGAAACGAGCCCTCTCGGGAAGCAGCACTGCCCCTTGCCTCCTTGCACGAGTGCACAGCCGAAACAGCCGGCCTACCCTCGCGGTCTCGAAATAGAAGAGCCTGGGAGCCGCGCGAAGACGTGCTCACTGGTTCCCTCACAGTTGCTCCTTCGCCGGTCGCGGGATCGACCACGGACCGCCGCTCTTCTTACCGTGCTTCTGATCGTGTGCCGCGCGCGCGCGCGGTTTGGTGTTGTTTTGTGAACGGCTTTGGCAGCGTGCGCGCGGAGTTTTGTCTGCGCTGCGTTTCGCTCGTCCCGAACGTCGGGAGTTGGGATGATGGTGTACCTTGCACCGTATCGCCTCTGTGACGTCGGTGTCAACGGGACTGTCACCGGCCATCGACGAGTGTGCTGAAGGCTTGCAAGGAGCCGGCTGAGCTTTCTTGTGTGTTAGGTGTATTCGCTCTACCCCGGATTGATCGATTGATCGGCTACGTCTGGTGATACGGATCGTACTACCCTTGTTCTCTTTTTTCAATTTTTTTTTTCACCCTTCGTGATTCCCCTTGGATACACGCCGGGTGCCTTTGCGACGCGATGGCGACCTGTCGCCGACTCCTTTGCGCCGCGGTGTTTCTACTGATCGCAGAGGCCACCGTCGCAGTGCTTACCGGTGAGTTCTGATTACTTCGTTATGGTCGTGATCAACTCGGATCTATTTTGAATTATTGCGGACGGGACGCAACCGTTATATAGACAGGAAAAGGTGCTGCGCTTATGATTGCTGCATTTTTTTTCTTTTTCCGGGTGTGTCTTCCTAAGCACATGATTCAAGGCGAAATGTGCTTATCGTAGATGTATCGGCATTTAACAGGTGTAACTCATCTCTCTGTCAACGCACCTCGTAAGTTGATTTCACGCACACGTTCGTATATGTTTCATGTAACGGCATCATAACAATCCGTACTTTGCGGTGAACTTTATGTTTGCAATGTAAAATACGAAACGAAGTTAGTTATTACCGATGTAAAGTTCCGCGCTGCTTTGGTTCATAACTATTCGCAATCTTTTTTTGGTAATGTATGCATTTTACGAAGAAAATTATTTTCGGAAACTGCGTAGCTCTTGTTCTTGTGTTTACTCATTGAAGAATTTGAGTAATAAGGTTTTCTCTGTCCTCCTCAATAATTATCATCCAATTTCGGATAAAATGCTCCAGTTTCCCAGCCACGAAGAACGCTAAGGCTGTGGCACCTGTTTAAAAAGAATGGAAATCGCTACAAGCCACGGGCCAGAACAAATCGCGTATTTGTCGAACCAAAATTGATTTTTACCAGCTCTGCTGTCGTTTTTGATTTTTCGCTATCGTTCAACCTGTGACCGCACTGGTTACGCTATCAGAAGCGCCTATCACGAGCTTTGCGTTGTGCCGAAAGAGCGGTTTATTCTGACCCTTCGACTCCACTTTCTGATCGCAGTCGCGATAAAAGGCGTCGCGAGTACGTTTTCTTCATTTCTTCAGCAGCCGTCTTCTGGCATTTCGGAGCGTTTGATTGAATTCTTACAAGAATTCCAGGAATCTTTTGGTGATTCCAGTCAGCTAAACAATAGGGAAAATCAAACGGATGAAGGGGAACCGCATTATTCAAGGAGTCGCATATTTTAGCCCCTTTTGCTCAGCGCCAGGTGTTAGCTACACACTAAACGAAAATGACCTAAAATAACCTCAAAAACTGGGTAAACCATTTGTCCTCTAGCGCAGTACCTTTCCTGGGTTTTTTTTACCACCTACTACCGAGGTAAAAATTTACTCTCGTGCTAACTGAGTTTTTGAACGTAGGGAGAGTAGTAAATATTTACCCCAGTGAGGTTTTCAGCGAGTATAGAGGGAGTAAATTTTTACTACCTTCACAAGGTTTTTGAGGCTATTACTGGGAGTTATTTCTGGTGGTAAAAAAATAAAAATTGACGGGTGCATTCGCCCAGAGACGACAAATTTATTGAATAGCAGAACTGATTGAATTTATTGAACGGCAGAATTGGTGACACATAAATTCACATACAGACAAACACGCACACACAACAAATGCAGAATAATACACCACTAGAACAGACTGCACGCGTTGCTCAACTACACTTTGACAGTCTGGTATATATATAGGCACGACTTTTTGACCGGCCATGTAGGACCAGTAAGAGAGCTCTTTTTCTGCATCGATAAACAAGAACAGTTGAAGGTGCAAGCGTAAACTTAAGGTGGGCTGCAGGACACTAAATGTCACACTGACCTTTTATTGTAAATCTACCCAATCTCACCTTTTTGAGTATCCAATAATTACTTGGCACACCGGGCTCATGGCCCCACGCGTGTTAGCACTGCTGATGCACAAGTCCATAAAATATACCTAAGTACGCACAAACCATGGTAGCTCAATGATTTTCATTGAGCGATGGTGCACAAACACAGTAGCAGCACGTATTCATCACAACGGGCGTAGAGGAGCGGTGCACGCCTGCACACAAGCTTCTTACCGACGGCGCACTAGGCCTTTTTGAGGAGCACGGCTATCCGATGAAACACAGCTGGCGATCACAGAACACATATCCTGTGCGAATTTCGTCGTCGTTCCAGACACAAATGAACACGTGGCCACTATCTTACGGGGACGGGGCGGTGTAAATACCACCGTCCGGGTTTTCTTCGTGCTCACCGGCAGCCGTTTGTTGGTCCCGTCTGCCTCGTATAGGCTTTGCGCTACATGTTTGAGAGCAGTTGGTGCATGAGGTGGGCAATTCGGGCAGCACTTTACTCATGCAGACATCGCCTACTGTGGAACAAAACATATGCGATGCTTCTTTCACCTGCCCCGGCGACACACTCCCACTGGTCACTGGCGGCGGCGGCTCGGTGCCGACGACAGAGTGAAGCATTTTGCTTATTGCTTCTCCAGTAGGCAAGCACGGACGATGACACCAGATTGATTTTGTTACCACTGGCAGATATTCGCGATTCGGCTCGGAAGCGAGATATCCGCGACGTGCAGGTTCGGAGGCGTTCGGAAGCGCACGGTCGTTTGACGATGTAGGAAACACGTGAGATCCATCAGCCCAACCAGACACACAGATACCCAGCTTCTTGCACCATCTGTCTCCAAGGCCAACGCCGAGCAAAAGCCAACAATTTGCGAAAATATGCAGGACAAGTTTCCTGAGCAGGTTTTCTTTCTTTTTTTTTCTTCTTTTGAGACCCCCCCCCCCCCCGCGTCTTTTTTTCTTTTTCGTTCACAGAATGCTGTTCACGCTTGTTGTGCTTATGCTGCCCCCAGTTCCAGTGAAAGTGCGTTGACTCGATGTCAGTCCCAAGGCACGGCGATGCCAAAAAAAAAAAAAAACTGTGGTCCTCGCGTACCTTCAGGAGAGCGTCACAATGGGGCAAAAGCCACCGAAGCAGCTGCACCTTGCAGTCACGTGGTAATAAACTCTGAAACGCAGGTTAAAAATCACGTGACTGAAAACTCCCTAAGTGGTAAAACTGGATTTTGACATCCTTTTACTACTTGCCTGAGAGGTGGTGGTAAAACTATGTCATGTACCATCTTTTACTCCTACACGAGGTAGTAATTTTAAACGCAAGAGAGTTTTCTGAGGTCATGAGCCGCAAAAACCCCAAACTCGGATAGTTTTTGCTTACAGTGTACCCTGCCCGCTTATACGCTGGTATTGGACGATTGAGTTTTTTTGCGCATCCGAGTTTCGCTTTCGTGTTCCTGTATAGTTTTATTACGTGTGCTCTCCCATTGTTTCCAAAACGTCCATGAGTTCTGCGCTGTAATAACGAAATTGATGCTGCTACAATGATTTTAAACAGCGCATGCCTACTTCTGGACACCGGTCATCAGAAGAGTGCGATACAATATTTATACAGTACGCCGACAATCGAAACCTTGCTCATTACTCCTTATAGAGTTGGAGGTTTCAGCGAGGCTTCACGAGGCACTGTTGTGAGGCATGTTCGCAACTTGCGAGGACCGCATACATCTACGTACTGAGGTTTTTTTTTTTTTCTGGTGACGACTAAAATATTTAGTTATTGCTTGTCGGCGGTCAGTCAACTTGACGCCAAGGTCTACGCGAAGACGGAAATTCCTGATAATTTATTACTCCAGTAGCTCTCCTTCCTACGTTCTATTAATTTGTCGAAGAATCTTGAAATGTAATTGTACTAGGTCAGCTTTCATATTACGCGATCTTTTTAGGGCAATCTGCTCATAACTTTACAACTTTTTTGTTTCCTTCTGTACGCTCCATTATGGGCGTCTGGCACAGAATAAATGTTGAGGTTGTTTGTTCCAAAACTACGATATGATTGAGAGACGCCTTGGTGGAGGGCTCCAGCAATATGCACCGTCTGGTCCTTCCACTGACACCGTACAGTACACCGGTCTAAAAAATTTTCGCCTCCATCGAAAACGCGGCCTCCATTCGATCCTGCGACCTTCGGGTCAGTCAGTAGTCGAACACGATAACTACTGTAAACTACCACGGCGGTTGTCTCAAACATACAAGTTTCTGTTCAATAACCTCAGTGCCCGTGGGACTCTGACTCCCATATCCACAGCGCATTCTAGTTAACATTGAAAAAAAAAAAATTGTAGGGCACTTCGTTCCCCAGACAGAGAATGCTTTTGTAAGCGGCGAATTGCGCACTGCCTCAGTATACTCAGTTCGCCACGCTAGGTCCCAATCAAGAAGAGAGGCATACTTCGTCCGCGAACCACTGCAGCCGTCCGAACTGACATGACCGTGAGACGTCTTTCCCCGGGAGGCCACACCACAATGAAGGAAGGGAGACCGCTTATTACGACTTAACCCCCCAACGCGGGCCGCCCCGCTATATAAATTTGCGAAGCCTTGCCCGTTTAGGGGCCATGACTTTGACCGGACACAAGAACTGTCAGCTCCCGCAGGAGAGGAAACGGCCGTCTTCTGCTCCTTTCGCAGAGAAGCAGAAGTGCGTGTCTAGCAGACGATCTTAAGCTTCCTTCCTTTCTGGAACGCCCTGGGCTTTAACGTGCACGCGCTCTCTCGCTCACACCATACCCTTCGCACTGCGCTTGTCAGAAAGCGAGATAATGATCGTTCGGCGCCCTTGTAAGCGCCTCCAACGATGGCTTGTCAAGTCGCGGCTGCGCAGGCGACGTTTCGACTCGTCTTCTTTTTGTTCTCCGAGGAGGGGAGACCCTAGCGTCAAACCGTTCGCGCTCAGGGCTCCGCCGTCATTGTTCTCATCTGGAAACTTCTTTTTCCTTTCTCGACTCCCTCGTCAACCGACTGTCGGACGGTGTGGGAACTCCGCGTCAGTGTGGGCGCTTGCTTGACTCCGTGAATGGCTTTTGTTCTTGTCCATTGAATTAAGAGATAAGAAGAGAGTTCCTGCTTTTTTTTTGTTTAATCTTTGGTGAGGAAGGCGCTTCACGTGGCGGCGACGTCGCTGGGAGGCGCTGTCAAGGGAAGCGTTAGCGGTGGTCCCCCTGTATTTGGCGACGTTGTCCTTTTGTCTTGGCGCACTCACCCGAGCGATGGGTGACGGCGTAACGCGGCGCTGACAGTACCGAGGAGTGATTGGGCATTTCCCTCGTGCGTCTCTGGTGTGTGACTCGGCGTCGTTGTTTG